TCCGTATGCAGGAACCAATGAGTTAGAGCAAGTGTTCTGAGAGTTTTCCACTTCTTCTCTTCACTGTTCTTTCAGGTTCCGATATTACTTGAAAGCTTTATTTTTAATGAATAGCTCTTTTCCAATGTGATTTTAAAATATAATTTTTTTAGATCATTGTTTAAGAATTTTTTCTGAAAGTAATGCTTTCTGTCCTTTCCTTTGTTGTTGCTTTTGTTTTTTTTATTTGTGGCCTCTTTCTAAATGAAGAAAAAGTAAAATAGAGAAGAGGAAAAACAACATAATGCATCAAAGTGACTCAAAAAGAGAGTTGAGTTTCTCTGATTTGGAGGTTTGGGGCATTTATTTGTTTTGTTTAATGGAGTGATGTTTAGGGGGGAAAATCACTACAATAAAGGTTAGCCTGCTGTCTCACAAAGGAAAAAAACAACCCTTTTGTCTTAGTGAGTAATTTATACTTTGGTGTTTTATAAAAATTAATTAGCTTGATTTCAAAATATCTTGGCTGGTATGTGGACTTTTTTAAACCCTCAACGGACAATATGCTGTGGATTTATGTATTGAGGAGGCGTGTTTCCAGCTACAGTGCTGGGTACCCTGCCCCTCGGCCCTGCCGCTCGCTGAGTAGAAGGGAAGAGGCACACAGCACTGAGCCCTGCCGTGCTCTGCCGAGCTGCTCCCAGTGTGTCCGACAGGGGTCCTCTGGGAGGGTCCCAAGTGACTTTTCCTTAAGAAAATAAAAGGCAGAGATTCAGGGGCACACACGATATTTCTAGTGCTCTGCAATATCTGACCTTTTTGAGATCTGTGAGATTTGTGGGCACCTGCATGTGTCTGTGTGTGAAAGACAACCAGCCTGCCTGGAAGTGATTTCCCCTGTCAAAGCTCTAGCAGCATATTTGACAGCACAGAGAAACAGGGGAGAAGAAAATTCTAAAATCAGAGTATCCGATATCTGAAGAAATCAGTAAAAGCCAGTCCCTCTTTCCTCCAACAAATAAAATGCCTGGTTCCACATTGAGAGTTAAGAAGACAAAGTTATTTGTTGACAGAGCCTATGCTATTTGTGTATGCTATGCTATTCTGCTGTAATTGAGTTTGAAAGTCAGTGAAAGACAAAGCTGAATGCTGTTATAGATCGAAGATGTTACAGTGTTTGTATCAACTTGTGCCATGAGTTGTATGCAAATGTCGAAGTGTGGGAAGGGGGCGAGAATGTTCCTCTGTGTGTGTCCGAGTTGAGGGGAGGAGGGTTGAAAGGGGAATATTGAGAAAAAAGAACATTTTGACATCATCAACCTCTGGTGACTAGTGCAAGACAGCCACTCCCGTTGCTGGTCCTTCTCTTTTATAGTAATAGTTTTGTGTGGTTATCAATAAGATTTAATCTTTAAGAAATGTTTCAGAATGGAGGATGGTAAGGAGATAAATAGTGAAAGAATACTGGGACAGGTATGGAGGAATGGGGTAAAGTATCTGAGTAGAAAAGGTGGGGTTTTCTTTTAACCTTTTATGCAAATTTTAGATGTTAGAGTCTTAGGTCTGTTAGCAGACTTCACTCTTACTTCTGATTCCATTGTCAGAGTCCAAAGTCCCCAGGGCATATTATCCGGATGTGACATTTAAAAAGAGCTCTTTCCAGAAAGGACCGGGTGTTGCTATGGGGTTATATTACCTAATGCATACTTTTCTACCCACTGAGCCACTTTTTAAAGACACAGCTGTTATTGAGGCAATTATAAAAGCCTTGAAAAAGTTTGCCTGTTAGGTTTTTCTTTGAATCCCAAAAGTCTGAGGTATAGTCTCAGAAGTCTTAGAAACAAGAGGGTAGGGATGCCCTAAACAGCTAAAGGATTTGTCAGAACAATGCCTCTGCCAGCTGTGTGTTAAGGGACAATTACTGCCTTTTTATTTTCATTTTGGAAGATGATAGGCTTTTTCAACTTTAAAAATTCTTTAGAGCTTTTCCATTCCCCTGGACCTATAGAAAACATATATCAGTACAGGACAGCTTTTATTTCAGAGTTCCTTCTGGATCTGTAAGTGAAACAGTCTCATGAGTGCAGCTCAGTGTAACTTGACTTGGTCATAGTTTTCAAATTGTTGTGTATATTATTATCATTAGTTAGGGCCTATTATTTTCCTGTCAACAGGAAATGCCAAAAATGCATTCTTGCTCAAATATGAATCATCTACTCTTCTATACTAACGGAGATATAATTATAATCCCACCCAAATTACTTCTATAATGACCTTTAATTGTGAATATTGAGTTTGTTTCCTCTTTAAAGTGTGAAAGGGGCAATTTAGCAATAATTATCAAAATTGCGAGTTCATTTTACTTGGAGCCAGCAATTCCACTCCTAGGAGTGCCTGCAGATATGTCAGCATGAATAGAAGACAGGGTATGGACATGGTTATTCACTGAATCATTATTTGTAATAGCAAAAGACTGGAAACCAGAAGGCATCTGCAAGAGGGGTCTGCTTGAGTGAACATGATGTACACACACAGTAGAAGGCCGGGGGGCGGCTGACAGGAAAGACGGGCATGAGGAAGCTCTGTAAGGACCGACACAAATGATCTCTAGTCTGTATCGTTACATTGGAAAAACAAGGGTAGAACACCACACTTAGTTCTTTTTGTGAAAGGGGTGAAGTGGATTTTATGTTCATATTTGCTCGCATTTGCATAAGGAAAAAACTGAAGAAGATACATAGGAAATTAGCCACAGTGGTTATTAGCTCTAGGGAGCTGGGGAAATTGGTGGAAGGGCTAGGAAATGCTCAATGGCTTTGATCCTTTTTTTTTAAGTATGTGTATTAAACCAATCAAAATTATACTAGAAGTAAATATGGAAAAAATATTAAGATTTGAGACATTTTGGTGATCACACAGATGGTCTTTATATTCATCTAATTTTAAAAGTGGATGAGGAAACATAGGGGGAAATAGTAGCAACACTCAAAATGATCCTTAAGGAACAGAATTGACAGAATATATTGACCACTGTATATTCTTTCTTTGGGGGGAGGGGCTAGACCAAGATCTTGTTGGGGTGGACTTTGCCTTCTGTTACAGCACTGTGCACTGAGTCAACAGTGGATGGGTAGGTAGGTGGTGGGTTTGTGAGGGCATCAAGAAATATGATGTTCTATTTTGTAATGCTGATAGTTGAGTATATTATGTATTCCTACACATTTGACTCATGCCCAGGTAATAACCGGCATGGCTTAATAATGTTAGTGCTTGCAGAACAGCCTAAAGTCTCAGGCATAACAACTCATCAAAGAATAGCATCGACAAAAAAATTAACTCGAATTCTTAGAATGTTTTATTCTCTGAGTCGTTGTCCCTTTCTCCATTTACCCACAGCATATGAATCCTTCATGGTCACTAAAATCCCACTACTGCCCAGCCTTTTGGCTGGCTCCAGACCCCACTGTCGGCCCCCAGCAGCACCTGAGCTTCGCGACACCTGGCTCTGAAATGCCTCTGTAGCCTGCGTGGCCCACTGTCATCTGAGGGCTTGTCCTGCCATCCTCCCTTTACTCCCAAGCCTTTGGCCACACTGTCCTGCTTCTTAAAAACCCCAAATTCATTCCCACCTCAAGGCTTTTGCATTCATTGTCCTGTCTGTGTTAAATTCTCGGCCCCCAGCTCTTTGCATGGTTGACCATTTCTTATCACTGGGGTTCAGAGGCACTCTCAAAGAAGCGGTCCCTGACCCAAAGTAGTAACATCAATCACCCTCACATTACCCAGTTTTATTTCCTTCAGAGCCCTTATAACTGTGAAAATATTCTGTTTAGTTGCTTCCTTGCTTATTGCCTGCTCTGCCCACCCTACCTTATTTCTACTGCTCATCGCTTAGAAGAGCACAGGCTCTGACCACAGATGCCTGCATTGAATAGGTCCTCACTACTCTAGTGACTGTGGACAAGTTGCTTCATCTCTCTCCCTTACCTCATAGTCTCATTAATTGTCTTGTATCACATGAATGCTTAAAGGTCAAGTGCCTAGCATGGTACTTGGTATTTAGTAGGCACTCAAATAATTTTTGCATGAATAACATTCCAATTCTGTTTGGTATTTTTTCTTGCACCCAAGACTCCCCAACAAGACTATGAACTCCTCAAGGCCCTGTGTGACCTCCCAAAGCTCCAACTGTAACTCAGCAAGGTGGGAGGAACATTGTAGGTGATCCGTGAATACTGCTTGAAATACCTGAACTGTTTTACTGTCGATTTCTCAGACATAGGCTTTGCATTCCTGAATCTCTCTGTGTTAGGGCAAAATCTCTGCAAAAGGACACTGTGTCACTTGCCGGTTCCAGTTTCGCCCGCCTCCCCATCCCACGCAGGAAAGCTTCCTTGTCTGTGTGGTCAGGAATGCGACAAAAGGGCTTTGTTTCAATCACACCCACAGGCCAAACGTGGTTTGCTCAATTTAAAAATTAAGTCGTCTTCTGACTCATTGATAGGCTCATGATGTAAGACACTTTAGGAAAATATTTCCTTATCTTCTTAAAGATCAAAGTGATCCCCAAATGTAAAAGCATGCTGTGCTCTTCAGGAATGCTTATTAAATTATTTGCATCATTGAAAAAGTCAGTGAACAGCTGCTTGCCTTTTGTGGGGTGTCTCAAGATACATGAAATATATTTTTAAAATGAGAGGCTATTTTAAAAATACTTTGCTTTTTAATAGCGTAATACGCGTACATGGTACATACTTTGAAAGTTACAAAAGGAAATACAGGGAAAATTAACTTTTATTCCCCACAGCCAATCACTGTTCCTAGTTTCTCAAGGATTCTTCTAGAAATGTGTTTTTCTTTTAGAGAAAGGGGATGGGAGGGGGCGAGAAACATCGGTGTGGGAGAGACATTGGTTGGTTGCCTCTCCCACGCTCCCAACCAGGGGCCTGGCACACAACCCACACATGTGCCCTGACCGGGAATCGAACTGGCAGCCTTTTGGTTCACAGGCTGATGCTCAATCCACTGAGCCACACCAGCCAGGGCCAGAAACATTCTTTACATTAACAAATATGTGGGTGATTATGTATGTTTCCCCCTACGAACTGCAGGGTACTGTACGCACAGTTCTGTACCTTATTATTGTCATTCAACCACATGTTTTGGAGATATTTCCATATCAGTTTGTATAGAGTTATTCCACATTGAATAGCCACATAAATACTCCATTGTATGCATGCACCACACTCACCTATCTCCTACTGATGAGCATTTAGGTTGTTTTTCACTGATAGGTGTGTTACTGTAAAATTTTTCTCCTGGGCCCTGGCCAGCGTGGCTCAGTTGGTCAGAGCGTCACCCTGTGACCCAGCCGTCCACCACGTGCCACCACGTGCAGAGGCTGTGGCTTTGATTCCCTGGTCCCGGCACGTGCCACGCCCAGTCTGGTCATGTGTGGGACGCATCCGGATCAGTGCGTCTCCTTCTCCCTTCTCTTCCTGTGAAAAGCAATGGGGGGAAATGTCCTCAGGCGAGGGTGAAGCAACCTTTTTTGTTGGTTTTGAAGTTTTTGTTAGATGCTACAAAGTTGCTCTTTATTTAGGCCGTGCCCATCTATACTCCCCCTAGCAAGGTCTGAGAGTTGGTGGGCCACACCTAGGTCATCTTTTTCATTGTTTTTTTTGTCATTTCATCACTTAACTGTACATTGGGAAGACTTTTATAAAACAGATTTCACTGAAGCTTTTTCTCATGTTCTGTGGCCAAAAGAAAGGGTGTTGTTGGGGTTTGGGGGTGGTTAGGACTTTTTTATTTGTTTCAAAATCACTGCTCTTAATGTATTAGACCTGTGAAGAAACCTGCTAAACTCTACCCCACCCCACCCCAGGGCAAATAGCTACCAACTTCTCAAGGTGGGTTCCCTGTCTTTGCTTTGCTCCTTAAGGGCAGAGACCGTATCTTAGTCATTATTCTTTTATACGTCTCTAATCAGTTCTACTCTTCTAGCCCTCATTCACATTGGCTCTCGTGAGCCCCAACCCCCCAGGTCATTCACCTCACTTTTCTCTCTCCTAGGCTTCGTCATGAGAACAGAGGGCCCTGGGTGTGAAGTCCCTTGGACTTGCCTCCCTTTCCTACCATGAGCATCAGTAGCTTCCCTGCTCCCTTCTTCTCATCTTGGTGGGACTGGCTGTACCCCACATGAGGTTGTGCCCTCCACCTGCGCTCCTGAATGCCATCGCCTCCTGCTTCCTCATGAGCCTTACGGAGTGTCGTCCTCTCTTTGTCCTGTACCTTCAACTACCGGTGTGTTCGTTCTCTGCCTCATAAACTTGCTCATACTTCTCACCGTGTAAAACGAAACAGCTAGAACGAAACCTTTTCTCTCCCCGGGCCCCTCTAGTCTTCTAACTACTACCCGGGTTCTTTCCTTCAGAGCCAGGTTTTTGGAGGGTGGGGGAAATGGCCTTGCTGTCCCCGCTTTCTCTTTCATTCACTTCCTACCACACATAGTCAGGCTCCTGCCCCATCATTCTGATGCAGAGGCTCACTAGTTGTCGGACCCCGTGGACATGCGTTTACCCTCATGGGCTCGCCTCCCCACAGCAGTTGGAGCAGTTGACAGTTCCTCCTCCTCGTTCTTCCCACTGGGAATCTGTGCAACTCCCATACTCCTCTGGTTTCCCTCGTGCTTCCCTGGACACTCCTGTTTGGGCTTCTTCCCCAACTCCCCTTGCCCCGCATTGGGATAGCTCTCAGAGGCGCAGCCTTAAACCACTTCCTCCATCTCCCTATGCATTCTCCCCAAGTAACATCTTTTCTCAAAGGCCACACATTTTGTGACTCCTACATTCCTATGAGCAGCCGGACTTCAGCCTTCAGACCTCACTATGAACTGCACACCGCCGAGCGTGGCGCGAGGGCCTGACATCTGCACGCCCACTCATCTCCTCCTCCCTCTCTCCACCCGCCCCATCTAAGAGTTCTTCGTATGGATTAATAACACTGCCATCCTAGAAACAAAGATCATCCTTCCTCCTTGACTGTACTCTCTCCCACACCACCTACATCCATGCAGTCACTAGGCTGGGTGGGCATTCTGCCTTCTCAGCAGCTTTAAGATCTATCATCTCTTCAAGTTCACTGCCACTGCCCTCATGCCCATCCCTCATTATCTTACCCTGGCCACTATAATAGCTGCCAATCCTTTCTCTCAAGTTTATTCTCCTTGTTATTGACAATATCTTCCCGAATCTCAAATTTGAACATTCCCATCCTGGCTAATGTTATTGGTGACTTCCAATTCCACGGAATACTGTCCAGACCCTTGGAGGCACATTAAGATCTGGCCCCTCCTACCTCTTTACCTTCTGCTGCTCTTCCCCTTTACTACTTTGAGTTGCATGCGCTGCGTGCTTGCAGGTTTCTATGCATTTGTCATGCCATTTCTTCTACCTGGATGTCCTTCCCTGTCTTTTCCCCCTTCCTTCCACCTGGAGAAATCTTATGTGGGTCGTTTAGTTAAAAGCGCGGGCTTCTTGACCTAACTGCACAGTGCTACTACTCTCCTCTGTACGAAACCAGTCTCCTGACTATGGAACCAATCACCTTGTATTTTAGTGGTTTACATGGCTGTCTCTTTCACTGCCCTGTGAATTGCTGGGGTCTGATGGTACTTTGTATCCCCAGTGCCAGCATAGTGGCTGACATTATAGAAAGTGTCTGGATGTCCCCTGAATGAATGGGAAGGAAAGGTCTGGAGAGCTTACATGTAAAAGAAAGCCTTGCTCTTCAAAGCACAAAGAGAAATCTCCTTCACTTAACCTAGGCCAAACAGCTCCATTTGCTTCCCTTGTGCTGTGCACAGTCTCTTTTGACACTTCAAAAAAAAAAAAAAACTGACTAGGGCTTTCAGCAAAGTGTCTGATCCTTCATGAAGGAAGTCCAGTAGGAAGTCTGGGCTGCTGTATTGTACTCTGGACACCTCATCTCTTCGAGATTTCCGAGGAGAGGGCTGCTCCAGAACTGCCGAAGTTTGGTAACATTATCTCACCCTTCATCTCCATGACAGAAAGGGGGGGATCTTCATTCTTGGAGCCTGTGGAATCTGTCAGGGCCTGTTCATTTCCCTTGGAGTCTTTCTAGCTCAGCGTGGACAGATCCCACCCGGGAGAGGAAGCTTCTGAAGAGGCAACCTCCGTGTCACCCCACGCAGGTGCGAGGCGGAGTTCGCTCTTCAGCTGTGTCCATCACTGCTCAAGGCCAGCGTCCAGTCTTAGGACGAGGATCCTCCACAGAGAGGGGTCCTGCCGAACATGGGGCGGGAAGGTGACGCTTTGTTCTTTCTCCTACATCTTTTCTCTGCCTCTTGGACCCATTTGGAGCATTTGGAAATGTTGCCAACTGCCTCATGAAAAAGAGACTTACTACTTTTTTCATTAAATTCTGGTATTTTTTCCCCCTGTATAATTAATAAGTAACATTAATTGAGTGCCTGAAGTCATTGTAGTTGGGCTTGAACCCTGACTCTGGGACTAGGGCTGTGCGATCTGGGCCAGTGCCAGCGGGGCCTGGGGCAGCAGGAAGGATTTCAAGTCACTGGGAAATAAAGCAGGAGTCTAAGTCAGTAAGAAACCGGGCTCGAGGGCAGTGGCCGGCTTTGAGGAACTGGTTGAAGAACCTGGTTTCTGGGGAGGTAGGTGCCCACGGTCAGAGCAGGCTCACAGCGAGAACGCCAAACCACTAAGACACCAAGCGGTTCACCTAGAGCTCCCTGATTCTTCCTTCAAGAAAAGGACGGACTCAACCTGGGGGCAGTGCCAAACCTGAGGTAAGTATGGGTTACCTGCGACCTGCTATGAGGATTAGAGAGTTATGGGGGCAAGGAGGCAGGTGAATTGTAACATATTGGCTTTCGATGTCAGTCTCGTGGTTTTGCACCCTACTTCCTCTCTTCAGCTCGGCCGTGCTCCTGCTTCCTTCAGTTCTTTCCTCGTTTCCAAGTGAGGCCTGGTCCTGCTTAGCCTGTGTGTACCTCCCTGACTGGATGTCACAGCCGTTGCCTCACAGGCATGCCCAGGGTCCCGCAGGCTGTGACCACAGGCTTAGCCCAGCCTCTGACATAATCATATCCTCTCCATTTCTCACTGGGGAGCTCTGGGTGACTCACCGCCATGGACAGTCCCTGCCCGGTGCCCTCTCTTCCACCTCTCAGTCAGCTTTCTCCCCTTTCTGTCCTACATCTTGGCTCTCTGGCTGTGTGTCTCCCAGGCCTCTCTCGTCTTCATCAGCTCACAATGACTAAGGACAACTGTACTCATTTACTGTACTCTTACTATAGGCCAAGCACAGTATCTCATTGTTAATCTCACTGTTAATCTCACAAAAGACACCATAAATAGTTTGTTATAATCTGCCTTTTACTGATGAGGAAACTCCAGTGGTTAACAGTATAGGCTCCCTCAATGAAATAAATATTTATTGACCAACTGCTGGAAAACCTCATGCGTCTGTATCCCTTGTGTTACACGAAACAATTTTCCTATGACCATAACCTCTCTCCAGAGAGTTGAAATATATGTATTTTCTTCAAATCATTATCATTCTTGGCAAGTCCTCAGTGTTTTTCTTAATACATCTTAAAAATTATTTCAGATTAAAATGAGGTTAATCCAGCCTCTTTGATTAATATCTTCATTTTTAGATGGACAAAGGCTTATGGTGGCGAAGTGACCTACACAGGGCCACGCAGCGGGCTAGTAACATTCAAGGTGAGCACCCAAGTCTCCTGACAGTGGGGCTGCTGTTATTCAAATACACTTAGGACTTGGACTTGCATTGGCATCAGGGGAATGACTTCTCAGTTACATTACAAAAGCCAATTTATTTTTTCACAGAAACATATAGGTGGACATACAAATGACTTTATCTTCTCAGCAAAGTGGATTCCCGGGTCTCCCAAGTGTTTGGAAATTGCAGAGGAATTTCCCTGCAGCCTATGTAGTTCCAGAGTTTGCAGCGTGAAATGTCTGACAGCTCACCTCGCCTTTCTGCCCAAAATAAAGCACAGCCACTTTCTCTGGACTCTGGCCTTGTAGAGAGGTGCAGTCCCCCTCCCAAATCCATTCTCCGGGCTTGCAGTCTGAGGCACACCCACTTTTTTCCGATGGTTTTGTCCATTCTTTGTGTTATAAGGGCAGGAGGTTTTAAAGTTGAAGTCTTTGACTTGCAAAATGAGAGACTGCTTTGGAGAGCATCTTGTTTAACTGCTTATGTAATTTCAAGCAGTGTTGCCACTAGGTAGCTGCTCATTTTTATGTAGTTCTTACCAAGAAATTAAAATAACAGTATGTATCCAGCATCAGGCTATGATGGAGGACTTCACAATCCCCAGGAAGCCAGCCATATCTTAGGAGGTGGAAAAGAGTCATTGCTCCTGTGTTTTTGAAACTGAACTGATTGGGGGTGACTTTGGTTAATAAAATTATATAGGTCTCAGGTATACAATTGTATAATCCATCGTCTATACATTGGCTTGTGTGTTCACCACCCTACACCCAGTCTCCTTCCATGTTCCTGTCTTTACATAGTGTTAAGCTGAGGCCAAAAAAAGACCAAAGCAACTTGGTGTGCTTTAAATTAATAAGGCATAATAAAAGGTTAACATGTAGGAAATTTAGGTGAAGGTTGTGTGTGAATTCTCTTTCCCCCAGCTTTATGGAGACACAGTAGATACGTTGCAAAGTTTAAGGTGTACAACGTGTTGATTCAATACATTTATAAACTGCAAAAACGATTACCACCCTAGGGTTAGCTGCCACCTCCATTCCATCATGTAGTTACCATTTCTTTTTTGTGGTGAGAACACTGAGGATCTATTCTCTCAGCAACTTTCAAGGACATGACACAGTATTATTAGCTATAATCACCATGCTGTACATTAGGTCCCAGAACTTGTTAATCTTTTAACTTGAAATGCGTACCCTTTGACCAAAATTTCCTGTTTCTCCTACCACCCAACTCCTGGTTTTCTGAGTTTGCCTTTTTTAAGATTCCACAGGTAAGTGATATCCTATGGTATATGTCTTTCTCTGGCTTATTTCACTTAGCATACTATCCTCGTTCCATCCATCTGTTGATGGACACTTAGGTTGTTTCCATATCCCGGTTGCTGTGAGTAATGCCTCAGTGAACACGGGAGTGAGGCAATCTCTGCGAGGTCCTGACTGAAACTTCTTTGGACATAGAACCAGAAATTGGGAGCTGCTGGGTCACGTGCGAGTTCTGATTTTAGCGTTTTGAGGAACCTCTGTACTGTTTTCCCTAGTGCTACATCGATTTTCATTCTTATCAACCGTGCATAAGGGTGTATGCAGGATGCTGCACATCGAGTTTGCTACATTTTTGTATTAGTTTGAAATTGTAAAAATAAAAACATTAATAAAGCAGAGAATATCAGTGGCTAGGTAGCGAAATAAGCACTACTTTCCACTATTTACTTGATTTTTTTTTTTCTAATCCCCAAGGGAAAGGATACAGCAGTCGTTTTCCAAATGCATACACGTACTGGTAAAAAGACAGCTGAGAATGCTGATGTTGGGGGGGGGGTTGTGTCTCCCCAGGCGCAGCGAACCTGCAGGCCGACCTCACTCTTGGCATTCGACCAAACTTGGGGAGAACCAACCCAATGCCAGCATGATGCAAATATCTCAGGGCACGATTGGCACTCCTTGGCCCCAAAGCTACCATTCCAGGTAAGTGGCCAAAGCTGACACCCGGGGGTTTCTTTCCTCCAAATGTCCTTGTTTCCTGAAAGAACATTTTCTTCTATTTTGAGAACATTTTTTCCATTCACCCTGAGTATTAAATCTTTCTACCCACGACCTTCCTATCCTCTTAAAATTCTTAATGTGTGTACAACTCATCTTCAGACCCTCAGCTCGATGGCTGCGGAGCAAGGACAGAACTATTCTGAGTGCTGGCTGTTTGAGATATTACGTATTGGGTCTCTTGATTCTCGGACATTTCTCAATTATACATAACACTATACTACAAAAATTGACAAACTTCTTTCCTCAGTACTTAAGGTCCTTTCTGCTTTAGTCAACTGTGATGGGGACTGGGGGAGGGAGCCAAACCAAGTCAGGATTCCCCTACGTTTGTTACGGACTCGGAACCCACACAGACTGGAATTTAGCTTCTGATCCCAGACAGTTGGGCTCTGTTGCTTTTTCACTTTTTGGAAGGACTCAATAAGGATAATGGTACAGGGGTTGGGGGGTCAAGAGAATATGGGTCCTGCACAGAAACAGGATGCAAGTGCTGATGTGGGGGGGGGGGCGAGGACAGCTGCTGAGAGGGTTACTTCACTGACTGACCATGGATGCGTTTGGCCAGGCCAGGACTCAGAACACTCACGCCTGGTCAACTGAAGAGTCAGACTCAGACCTCTCACCGGGGCACGCGGCCCCCAGCATATTAGGGTAGGCTTCAGGCCGTAGGAAGCGAGAATTTCCTGGTCACCCTCCTCATTACAGAACTCCCCTCCATTGCCCATGTCCCTTGCAGTAACCCGGAAAGAATTCATTCTGACTGAGGCACCTGTGCTCAGAGAACAGGTCCCCTGCAGGGCCCTATTCCCACACCCCCGTGCAGACATAGTGATTCCGCTTGGTGGGTATGGAGGTGTCGAAGGCCTTGAGGAGGTTAGATGCGGGGAATGAACAGCGTGAAGGAAGGACAGTGTAACGGGAAGGTACCTGGGTTTTTAAGTCAGATGCAGGTTTAAATCTCAACTTCACCTCCTGTTGCATGAGCCTGGGTAAATCGTTCCACCTCTTGGATCTTTGTTTCCTCACCTATAAAATGAAATTAATAGTATGTGTGTCAAAGGATCATAGTGGAAGGCAAACAAAGCAACATGTAAAACATTTAGTGTAGTTCCTCAAACACAATAAGCACTAAAAAATTATGACAGTTTATCAAAATTAGGCCAAAGGCTTATCAGAGGCACAGTGAAACCTGGTAATAAACTTCAAGGTTAATGTTATAAACCAGCACACATAAAATGCCAGTGGGCCCTTTGGAGCCTCTTAACCTTAGGAGGCCCTAAATTTGAAATCGTACTGCAACCTGAAAACATGCTGACCCAAAGGCAGAAATAAGGCCACTGCAATCAGCGCTCAGAATACCTGCTTATGGAAGCTGGTGCGCTCCAAGAGGTCTCAGGAGAATGATGGGCTTGGCCTCAGAAGTGCAATATTCTTAAGGCTGCACTTCTCCACCTCCTGTCTCCTCCCCATCCCTATCCTGGCCTCCAGAGGGGTTTAGGCAGGTGGATCTGCCTTTACCTCTAGCTCTGCCCCTCTAATCCAAGCTTCAGAATAGCTTCCCCTGACACAATGGCTCTCAGCACTCAAGGACTGTGTAGGGTGCAAGGGAGAAAGGAAAGTGCAGACGACCCAGAATGTGAGAGATGTGTGGATTCTCTTCTGCCCCAACGCAAAATCATCCACGCTTTGTGTTTATTCCATGTTCACTTCATGCCTTGGGCTCCGAGCTCTGGCAGAGGGCTTCACCCCCAACTCGAAGTGCTGCTCAGAGTGTCTGGCATTGGCAGCAGTAGGTGGAGAAGAGCTGTGGGTGTGCTTCTGAGGAGCGCAGTGGCACCTAGTGGTCTGGCGTGCAGAACTGGCCTGTCGGCATCCCTCCGACAGCCTTCCTTCAGTTCTGGAAACCCAACCTCAGTCCTGAGTTTATGCATCTGTTTCTCATTAAGAAGCAGGAGCATGAGGGAGCTCAAGGGAGGGGGAGGAGCAGAAGCGAGGAGAAAAGAAGGGAGAGATACACAAAGAGAACTGAAGACTTAACTGTCTGCAAGCTGGTCTGGGCCTGGATTTCACCAAAATTGTGTAACTGCTGCTTTCTGTGAAACCTGCCCCTGTCTGTCTGCTGCCCTGCAGAAATCTCACACAGTGGGCCTCAGGTGTTGACAAGAGACCTTGAAAAGTCTTGTAGTCCAGTCCGCTCATAAGAGGACGAAATAACAATATCAAAATACTCAAGTACCTGTACTTGTTCATTGATTTATTCAATCAAGTATGTACTGACAACCCACTGTGTTTCAGATGAACAAGGCATAAAAGGCCCCTACCCTATAACATTTGTCCCCCAAGGCGCGTTCCATGGAATACTAATCCCCTAGATGCCCCCTGGAAAAAGTTTGTAGGGTCCGATAGGTTTTCTTCCCTGTACTTCTGTTGTTGACACTACTGTAAATGTCCCCGTTTTCCCCTCCTTGCCCGCCTCCCCCGAGCCTCCACTCCCCCTGCCTCCTGGCCATCACCACGTTGTGCTGTGTCCACGGGTTATACGAATATGTTCTTTCTGTACTTTCCTTTCAGAACGTCCCATGCGCAATAGTTTATTGAAGACTCAGAAGTCTTGCAGTAAATAAAATTGTTTAACTTATTTAGCCCAGGATTTTCAAAGCATAGTTGACCATCTAAAGAATTAATCTTCTGTAAGCACACTTTAGGAGATATTTTCATGCACTTGTTTGGTGCAATTTGCTGTTTTCAGTATTTAGAAAAAAACTTCTAAGCACACAAAACAGAGTAACATTACAAGAATGCATGTATCTACCACAGAATTCCCACTTTGTCATTTTTGCTTCAGTCGAAGCCTCTTTCATATAATCAAAGGAATATGTCATGTCAAGTATGGTGAGTGCTATGAAGAAAATAAAGCAGAGCGACAGGTGTAAGGAGAGGAGAGGTGCTCCTTAGATAGTGAGTTCCAGGTGTTGTCTGATGCAGAGACTTAAATAAAGGAGAGAGTGAGCCAGTTCAAGAGCAGTGTGTGTGGTGGGAACAGCGAGCACAAAGGCCCTGAGACTCAGATGGGAATATAGTTCACAGATTCGCATTAGTAAGTAGGCTGTCATGCTGGAGTGCCTTGAGCAAGACGGAAAGCAATAGAATCTGGGGTCGGAAAAGTAGCCAGACCCCAGTAAGGACTTGGATGCATTCATCCGGAGCGTAAGGCTGTATCACCATAGGACTGAAGACCTTCCTGCCAACTTCTTACCCACCATCAAGAGTGCCATCTTGGAAACAGAATGACACTGGGAATCCAAGTGGCTGCTCCCAGAAAGTGGTGGGAGAACTTGCTCCTACGGGGGGTGTCTGGGCACTCGATGGCATGGCATATGTCACCGGTCGACTTCTCCAGTCAGCTTGGGAATGGGAATTCTGAAAGGGCAGAGCCCTCTGTGAGCAGAAGGAAAGAGCATGTCTAGTCCTCATTTCCACCTGTGTGTAGGGGCCGAAGTTTCCTTTAGCTACAGGAGGGATCCCGTTCTGACCTTGCTCTGCCTAGCTAGAGACATGTATACCAGTGATTGCATTCTTTCTAGACGCCATCTATATTTTTAGCAGTGTTAGCAACTACATTTCTTTCCACTCAGTAGTGAGTGTTTCAGTTAACCCATCCATTTATTCACTTAAATTTTTAATTTTAAGCATGTTCCTAAGTTACATCTGAATTAGCTTCCCAGTAAAAGACTGCTAAGATTCTCAGCAGTTAAATAGTGTCTGCCACCTACATGGAATTGGTGAGTGAAACAGCCCTAATGGGATCTACTGCTTCCATTTCCCCTCAGTGCGATGCTCTGAATCCTCTGTTGGAGGAGCTATAAAGGGAGATAAATGGTCCAAATGGGATTATCCTCTACTGAACCACATCATGTGCATTTTTATCCGCCATCAACATAAACCGTGCTGTGAGTGCTGGGCTGATTTCACTAACCTGGCTGGCTCAGTAGGTACTCCCTTCCTTGCTCCCTTGACTTTATACCTGTCTCTCTCAAAGCAGGATGCTCCATTCAGTTGACTTTTTCTGATATAGAAAAGTTACATTCTTCAGGTTAGTTGCTAAAAATGTAGTCTTCTTTTCCTTGAATTCCAATGCCCATTCTGACTCAGAATGTGGTTCTTCTAGTCCCTTGCCATGTACTCTGGAGACAATCCAGCCATAAAGCATCATAACATACTCAGCCACCAAGACACCATATTTACTTACACAAGATGTAGAAATATAATCATAGCTCCGTGAATTAGTGCGTACGTGCCTATTCATGGAAAAATGGAAAGTCTTAGGCAAGAACTCCTCGTGATTTGCCCTTCTTTAGAGAACAGTGCGCCACAAACATTTGAATTATGGAGACTGCTGTTTGAGTTTTGGACCACTTAGTCCTTCCTGTATGCCCATCCTCCCCCAACATGCTGGATGAAGTATATTTTGAGTTTATAATTAAAGCCAATTATAAGTAATTTTGTTTCGAGGCAATGCCAGGTTGAGCGCCATTCCCCTTCCCCAGCCAGGCTCTGAGGACCACCTGCAGGTCCTGCCTCCCGCATGTGTGCGAGGCTGTGCTCGGGCTGGGGAGGTGCCATAGGTGACGGACTCCTGTGATTAGACTTCTCATGAAGCTTCCCCTCCTTCCTTCTCTCATCAGCTTTTTCTGACTGATTTCTCTCACTCAGCTTTCTGTTTAGCCTTTTCCCTACAAACAAGTTGTCTCCAGTGCAGTTGATGTTCCAGGAAGACTGCCAGCGTGTAAAGCCTTCAGTTCCATAAAAAGGAAAGATATTAACTAAAAATGTATACACGTGTACAGTCTCCCTCACCATTCACATGCCTAGACACTAAGCTGTTCCCTGTCCCACAAATAGCTCCAAGAGACACAAAATTTCAGTGCCAATCACTCTTCCTCCTCTTCGTCTCTTCTTTACTCCCCGCCTTCATTTCTTGGCACACACGGTCATTTCCAGCACATAGCAAATCCCATCAGTGTGCTGCCTATGCCCGAAGGCCACGTGGCTTCCTCTGCACTCTCTGTTCCTCCCCTTGCAAGCCGAGGTGATTAATTGGAGGCACACAGAGGTTACAGTGTTAGGCAATCACTCCTAGTGACAGCACACAGGGAGGCAGAGCAAGGTCCAAATATGGCTCTTTTCACCCACCCTTCCAAAGACCGAACGTCTTGTACCAGAGTACATTTATAAGCTGAGCCCTGTGCCTGAGCCTGCTAAATGATAACAGCTCAGCGGTGCTGACTGCTTCGCCTTCCTTTCTTCCAGCTCCTCTACAAGTGACCTCTCCAACTATGACCATGCTTACCTGAGGCGGAGCCCTGACCAGTGCAGCTCCCAGGGGAGCATGGAGAGCCTGGAGCCCAGCGGGGGATACCCACCCTGCCACCTCCTTTCCCCCGCCAAGTCCACCAGCAGCATCGACCAGCTCGGCCACCTCCATAACAAGAGAGACTCGGCGTACAGCTCCTTCTCCACCAGTTCTAGCATCCTAGAGTACCCACCCCCTGGCACATCGGGCCGGGAGCGTTCAGGCTCCGTGGACACCACTTCTGCTCGAGGTGGCCTCCCAGAAGGGATGAGGCAGGCGGACATTCGCTATGTCAAGACAGTCTATGATCCCCAGAGGGGAGTCTCAGCAGAGTATGAGGTGAACTCTTCCGCCCTGCTTCTCCAAGGGAGGGAGGCCCGGGCCTCAGCTGGCGGTCAGGGCTGTGATAAAGGGCATGATGTTCCTCGGGGCAAGGGAGTGCCACCCCCATCCTGGAGCCAGCAGTGCCCCAGTTCCCTGGAGACTGCCACTGACAACTTGCCTCCTAAAGTGAGTGCACCTCTGCCCCCCACTCGGAGTGACAGTTATGCAGCCTTTCGGCACAGAGAGCGGCCCAGCTCTTGGTCTAGCCTTGACCAGAAACGGCTCTGCCGGCCTCAGGCTAACTCTTCTGGCTGCCTGAAATCTCCCTTCATGGAGGAACCGCTGCACA